GTTAGTTTGACGAAACACTGTCCCAACCATGAAGCAATGCACTTTATAGTGGGTAGCGGTCGTACGTAAAGGATGGTGCTATACTAGCGGCGGCTGTTGCACGGCCTCCTGATCTCACAGCAGTAATCGTTCTTGCAAGTTTATTGCTCGGCCAGCTCGTGCACTCACTTGATTTGTTCACCGATCCTCCGCATCTTGTTCATCCGCCATTACACGTAACCCGCTTGCTGGCTTTGTGTTTTCGCACACATTTTCAATAAAACATGAGAATCGTTGAAAGAGCGGAAACCTATATATTCAAGTGATATTCTTGGTAAGCACATGCCCACATTACTAATGTTTGATGAGCGCCGGAACGAATAGATAGGTGTATTGCACATCAAAATGCGGAAATACAGCTGCCATATCATCAGTATAAATTACACGCAAGAAATAAACATAAATATATAGCCATTTTTAAAAGAATACCCACAGAACAGTAAAACTGCAATAACTGCATACCACTACACATACAGTGCACAACGCAACACCGCAGTAGTTGCCGCAGCATTGATACCGGCATGAACAGAACAAACAAAAGAATAATGTTGGCTACGCGTTCTTCGCCGCCTTCACACAAATTTTATCCCACGCAATTCACATCACTCTTTCGTGAAAGCCAGTCACAGGCAGGTGCCGCAGCAAAAAAAAAAAAAAAAGCAATTTTAGGTGTCATGCAAGCTCATATGAGACAGGAGTGTTTACTTAGAGATTACTCCCTATAGCTTGAGCTAACAAACTTTTTTAAAGATTTTAATGCATTTGTGAGAGCTTTGTGCACTTTGATAACCGCACAGATATTCTTACAAACGTAACTGCACTTTTCAGAAAATATCACTCATGGAGTGAATTTGAATACATCTACCGGCACAAAGCAAACGCAACCATGCCTGCAGCGACTCATTCTCTTGAGCCAAAAAACGAGTTTCTCGCAAACCTGCTGTGCGGCATATTCAAAGCTGTTTTTTTTTTCATGTGAAGAAATTCACGAAAATATTATGCGAAGGAGAATGCCCAAGAAATTTGCCTCCACTCAACAGCACAATGCAAGAAATGTTAGTTCAAGGCTTCGATGACGAGAGCAATACACACTTTTCAAAATAATAGGGAGCTTTAAAATAGCGCACCGCAAGCTCTTGCGGTGCGGTCGCGGTTACTGCGCGTGCGTCGTAACGCGAGCAGCCATTCGCGTTCACGGCCTGCCCGCAGTAATTTCGAAATAGCGGGCGCGTGTGCATCCCGCATGTGGCCCGCAAACGTTGGTTTCGAAGCTACAGTGTCGCTCCGATCGTGCGTTGCGGTTTGCAGGAGGGCTAACGCTATTCGTGAACTCATATGGCGCCTGCCATACCCGCAATGCCCGCAGTACTTGAAAGCGTTGACCCAAAACTACCTAATGATGGCGTTCGTACCTAGCAGCCGCCACGCTGAGAGGCAGACGAAACAAGCGAAGCCAACGACACACGTGCAGCACGTTGCCGCACATTTTAGATGCGAAGCATTTCTTTGCGAACTTCGGCGACATTGAGCGTATCTATCTATCTATCTATCTATCTATCTAGCCACTTACGTTTGGGTGTTCTCGTGGTCGCCCACTTAACTTGGCGGGAACGAAAATTAGCATAAGAGGGTATGATGATTTTACGAATATAACACGCTGGTAAAGACATTATTAATGTCAGAATCTTGTCGCGTACGTCGTCAAACACTGCCAGTCATACAGTGACACATACTCACGGGCGAGTGTGTGCCGTTGGTAAGCGGGTATGTGCCACAGGTGATTGACTCTCAGTATATACCCAGGAACGACCAGAACACACATGCGCAATTTTAACGCTTGAGCGTTAAGCAATACCCGACATCGGTAGCGTCGACCCAACGAAGGCATAGATTAAATGTTAGAATACCTTGACATAGGCAGCTTTGGCCACCCGACGAATACAAATAATAAATTTCATGGTCCCAGCAGGAATCGAACCCAAGCAGTCTGCGTGGTAGTCAAGCATTCTGCCACATAGCTACGCCAGATCTCGGAACTACTTTTAAAATAGACGCTAATCTTCGTGAAACGCCACTGGGGGTTGCAGTGCTGCCGAATCAATTTTATAAACATTACATATGTACTCCTTTCATACAGCCGTCACTTCGGGTTAACGTCAATTGTGGTGAGGTGCCATGCGCTGAAATTGATTTAAGTAGCAGTGTCGAGGGCCAGCATCTTCGCGAGCATCAGCGCTTCATATCAACTTCTGGTGTTGCTAAAACACATTTCCAGCTGACATCATTGGGAAAGTGAGAAAATGGCTATAGAAACATCTGCAACTCTTCAACATATGTCCCTGCGTGCAACATTTGTGCATATTTTATCGTCATTTCATGACGTGTCGCTCGATAAAAAAAATGCAACAGGTTCATCTTGCCTCTGCGTGCTTCGCATAAAGCTTATTCTCAGATACGGGGGATCTGCTGAATTTTTTTTCGCGTGTCCCTGCTGCTGTTCGTACTTTCTGATTTCTTTAAATGCTCGTAAACACGGAGCATGGCAACATTGCCATCGTGTTGACGCTATGAGCGTTTCTCTTGCATCAATTTTATGCCAGATTCGGCCCGACCATATGCACATGAAGCGATAAAAATGGATAAGGAAGTCACAATCACCGTCTCAAAGACACGAACACATATATGCAGTATAAAAGACTCGGCAGGAGATAACTAGTATCCGTGTTTACTTGGAAGCAGAAAGTGATGTGTTGCTATCATACGGCTGGCGTGAAGCTGTGTAGCGCCACCGCTTTTGGCCAGACTAACCAGTTTTAAAGTTTATGTTAGTCTATAGGTCTGTCGTCAAGGCGGGCCAACGCAGCAGCTAGTGACAGTCTGTGCACGCTGCAGTCAGCACAGTGCCAGAGAATGCGCTCTGTCGTTTCATCGCTGCCGCAAAGATCGCAAGCAGCACTGACTTCCGTGCCCATTCGATGGAGAAATCTTTGCGAAAGCGAGACCAAGCCACAGTCGGCAAATCAGCGTTGTCTCAAGTCGAGAGAGTCCGAAGGGAGGTCGAAGTCAACGAGACTTGTCCAGCCTATATAGAGGAAGTCGGGTGTGCCGTAATCTTGCTGTAATTCACAGGAACTTCCCATCTTCAATAGCAATCTGTCGCAATTTCACGGTAGTAGCAGTCCTTGAGAACAGAATGAGCCACGAAATAATTATGAGACACACCGTAGTATGAGGCGAAGAAACTTTTGACCACCTGATTTTCATTTTTACAGGCTGATATCACCTTATAAACTGGCCTCTAGCTTTTCGTCCCAATTGAACTGCGACCGCCTTGACTGGAATTGAACCCACGACCTTCTAGTAGCAGCCGTGCATCGTAACCTCTACATCACCTCGGCACCGATGCGCAGTAATACGGGGCTCTCACTATATACTCTAAATCATTTTGAAGTACTACGCATGCGCTGCCGTCACCTACTAAAATTTTACGGCAAAACTTTTTTTCCTCACAAGAAAGGTCTCTTATGGCAATACTACGATAACGGGCCCGTTTAATCGTGACAATTTTTAGTCAGATTAAAATGCGGAAAAGAGTATCAAACGAGGTATTTTGGAATTATAGTACCGAAAGTACACTTCTCGTGCCTTTCCCATCTTCTACTGCATCTACCATAATTTTTCTGTTATGTCGTCTCTGCGGTATTGATCTCGCACCCACTTAACTAGAGCATGCTTGTCACAAAACAACCAAACGGGTTTCATATGCAACAATAAAGGTGTTTGCTTTTAGCGTGAAATATGTCATACATTTAAAGGGGCGCTACGTAGAACACTTTCCGTGCATGGTGAGAAAATGCTACTTATTAGTAGTTGAGGCTCCAGAGAACACTCGGGCCAAATATTAAAGCACAGCATTTGACCTGGAATATACTAAATTCTCTAACTTAGCTAAAACTTGAATCTGTTTCCCTCGAAAATTTATAATACATACTCAAAAATTACCGTGTCAGAGGCCCGAGTATTCCCATTGGTTGATTTGAGCATGGCATGCTCGGAAGTTACTGGGCTCGTCGCAGGAGGCTATGACGTGTCCGCATATGCTCGCGTGATGGCACTGAAAAGCCACGCATTCGAAAAAAAAACTAAATTCAAAAAGTGGTCAAGACCAAGAGGCGTGCATGGCATATTTTCTTCCCTACTAACACTCTTTCCTGCTTAGTTTCCAATGCTTTCGTTGGAACGAAGGAAAAGAAAAAGAAATTGCTGCGATCGGCATACTTTCATAACTCCCTTCACTTAGAAAAGATCCTAAAATTTCTGGTAGGGGTCAATTCATGAGGCACTAAGCTCTCGCAATGGATCTATTTCATGCTTGCTCGCTGGATTCCGTGCAGACTGGTTGTGCCCTCGCGATCTTCGATGTCAACGTAGCTCTGGGCGACTGGGCTCACCCTACGTCATCTCCTGACGCCAATCTCCGACGACAGCGCAGCTCTGACCTACTGAACTTGCTCTACGCCATCTCCTGACGCCGACAAGAGCTCTCGCAAGTGGTGCCCCGTCCTCGGACTCCTGTAACCGTGTTTCCATCTTTCTTATCTCGCCTATCCCATCGATATGTCCTCGCTCGCTGGCTTAGCGTATCCCTCTTTCTCTACACCTTTATTCTTATCCTTTTAATCCCTCCTCACCCCCATCTCCTGTGAGCTACTGTTGAGGTGTCGCACCGTGATAAAGACAGTTACGGGGCTCGCTTTTCTCTTTTCTCTCTCTTAGAATCACTTAGTAGGGCCTTTTAAAGGCATTTGACTTCTTATGATAAACATAACAGACTATTCCTTCTGTGCTTCCGTACACAATCAACATTTTGAGCTCTTCACGTACGAGTTGAGATAAGTTTAATAAACATTATGTATAAGGACAATATTTCATCCACTTACGTAAGCCCAAGTTCTTCTTACCTCCTAAACGCCATGGCTTCCCCAGTGCATCCAACGGTGGGAGTAGAGGCACGCGGGGCACTTCACGAAAGCTTCGCGCTTTCACCGAATCAGCCGATTGGTTAGAACAAACCTTCGTGTTCAACATTCTACGTAAAAAGCCGTCGCACTGAATTGACATGCGAGGCAACGATGTACGGGCCCCTCTCAGCCTTCCCGAAATGGTACACAAAGTGTACAGGGCCATGGCAACGTGAAACTTCGTTCCCCAATGCTCACCCAAACTGCACCTTTCGCTAAAATCATGCACGTTGTTACTCTGGTACAAGCATAAGCGGCTTCGTCACATGCATAGGGGTCGTTCGCACAGGCTGGCAGATGTCACTTGCGTTTATTGTCTCCGGAGCGTAAACAGCCTTTTCTTTTTTTGGGCAGCTCTATGCTCTGCAAGCGGCACGTGGCATGGGATGTGCACTGCTCACTGACAAGAGTTTAATGCTTGCGCAATATTTAACCTTGCTTCCGGTTTGAATGTAAAAGATCCGTGTGATCAGCGGAGCACACAGCTTAGTGAAAGCGGAATTTTCCCAGCGTAGCCTCTGTACGAAAAATTGGGACTCAGTTATTTACATGTAGATATCCTAATGGTCTGACTTGGGTGATCTTGGGCTAAAAGGAAGAATAGCTTTTCTTTCAAGACCAAGCAAAATGCGAGGAAAGCCTACACTTTGATTAAAACCTTACTCCCGGGCGTACTCTGCAACACGGGGGTTGAGAAGGCTGCATATAGCTTCACACAGCTGCGCCATAGTGGAGTACATGATGCATGTATTCGCTCTCATTTTCGCTTGATTGGTTATTACAGAGAGAGGCAACAGGCAAGAGCTGAAATTCTGTGGGAGAACGAAAGGACGATTTTTTTATTTAAATACTCTGAAGACCATATTCGGCATTGCACGGAAGAGGGAATTTAGTTATGAAAGTACATAAGTTCCCAACAACATAGAAACCATACTTTTAACAAGGAAATAAGCAAAATGAAACAGCGAGTCAAGTTAATTACAGCGTTCGGTTGAATACATTCACCATAGGTAGAACGCATAATAAAGAGGGCATAATTTTTTCAAAGTAATCATTACAAGAAAATTGAAAATGTCATAGGAGAACATTGAACGTATATCGAAAACGAAGGCCGTAAACAAAATGAGAACAATCAAACATAGCTTAGCAATGCTAACAGCCATGCAGCATCGAGTGAAGAATGAATTAGTGATATCGGGGATGTGAGGTTTAAGGGAGATTCCCTTGTCTATGCATAACGATAAAGGCAAACTTTGAATCTTCTTTGTCGTGGTAAAAAAAGCGGGGGGGGGGGGAGCACCTTGTGCACATGATGTAGGTTGGTTGATTTTTTAGTTTGCAGAAAGGTATGAGACCCATCATAGGATTGTATGCCGTGATTAGCTGAGTGAAAGATTGATTGTCCAGTATTTCACCAGTATGTAGCAAGTTTTGAGGGCTAAGCTCCGCCTTTATAAAGAAACAGTTAGGCACCGTGAGTAGAATGATGAGATAAACCTTGTGAATTTATTCTGTATCATTTCGAGCCTGTCAGAGACCTATTAGGTGAGGCATGTTGTAGACATAACCGAATAATTGAGCACTCCGTTGTCAATGAAGATGACTTATGTTCTGTTCCCGAGGTTTTACAAATCACAATTTGCTATTTCGACATGCCTTCTCTGTTATGTTATGTTAGGTAACGGGCTTCACGGTCTGCTACTTCAAAGCAAGGAAACAGAAAAGGGATGTGAAGTACTCACGTAATAAAACTCGACATTACATTTTATGTAAAATTACTGGTGTACCCCATCGCTCGAGATAACCACTTCAGGTTCATACGACTCTGGTCTCAAAAAGTAACGTTGGTTTTGATCTACGTGTTTCAGTCGAAGTCACACCTATATGATTCAAAATTATTCGAAACAAATATATGCTTGTGACTTCACCCTAGAGTGTCCCGTTTCATTCCGTGAATACCGTACGATATATACGGAAAAAATTGAACATTACTGGCGCAGGCTAACTACAACCCGTGAACTATTATTTAAACAGTCTTTCCGTTAACCCAGTGCCACTTACGACTGACTACAGCGGCGAACTAGAAATGGGTCTTTTTTAAATTTGCTAGAATATTAACTTTACCGGGCCATGCATAGCGTAGTTTGTTCTTTTCACACAAAATAGTGTGCAGTAGGACGATCCCACATCTACCTTTCTTAAGCAGGATCACCGAAACCACCTGGTGCCTTGGTGGGTGTTCCACTAAGGCTTGCCACTGATAACAGCCATATACTGAAGGAACGACGACGAAGTGATTCTTGTGTAGAGCACTGCTCTCAGTAGCTTACCTTTTTCGCTCAGGGCTCGCTGTCCTTGAGGTTTCCTCCGGTGCTTCCTGAGGCCTGAGCGTCCGGTTTCGATTCGGGATCTACCCCCACTGCTACTTTAAGGGCACCTTCGTGCTTCCTCCTGTGGGGGAGCGGCCGGATCAGGCGGTGCTGTTAAGCCTATTAATCTGATGTCTCTTTCCTCTCCCGGCCAGACATATTCTGCCTGGTCGGCTTCCCTTTCTAAGAGTGATTTGCCAATAGATCTATTTTCGCGCAGTGGTCTGAAGAGCGTTCCTGTGGCCCTGGTTCCAACCAACGGCGAGTCTATTCGCATGAGAAATCCGAAACTAATTCAGGAAAAAATCCGGAAGATTTCCGATTATTAACAAATGATTACTGAGGTGCGTCAATTCGGACGTGGAGGCGTCCTGTACTGCTCGCCGGACCAGGCCTGCTTCACAGATCTTCTGAAATGCACAACGTTTGCCTCAAATCCAGTGAGCTGTTTCGTACCTGTCCATTCGGCCTGTGTGAAGGGACAAGTTCGAGGAGTGGACTTGAGCATTACACCACCCGAAATACTTTAAATGTTTGTGGACGCAGGAGCAGTCTCTGTATTTCGATTCTCGTGAAACGTTGAGAGCAAAAAGGTCCCCACAGAATCAGTGATCGTGACTTTTACTTGCACGGCTCGACCGACCGAAATTAAGGCATGACCACTAATTTATCGTGCAGAAGCACTATCCCCTCGCCCACTGCAATGCGAGAAATGCTGGAGGTATGGGCATGCCATCAAGGGATGTAGATCGAATGTGAGGTGTCGCACATGTACTGACCAACATAAACCCGATAAATGTTCAACCCAAGAGGTGAGATGCTGTCTATGCAGAGGAAATGACGCGGCTGACGATGAAAGTTGCCCCATGAGTACATGTGAGTTGCAACTTCTAGAGATTATCGAACAACAACGATGCTCCCGGCGAAAGGATGCTCCCGGCTATGCCTCCGTTGCCAACCGGGCAAACCAAATGCTTGAGTCGTCGTTGCCTGATTTAATAACATCAATGGTAGAAATGGCCATGACGAAGCTTATGGAATCTCTATTCGTGAGCCTAACGGAGTCATTGGCACAAATAGTGAGCACTCAGTTGAATCAAATCTTGCAAGGAAGTAACACACCTACCGTGCCCCCTTCTCTACCTTCATCAGTTAAGGTTACTGATATTCCATCGGAACCAGGCCCTTCGAAGTCAAAGCCAGACACGCCGAACTCTGGCCGTAAAATAATTATGCCTTTTGTACAGGACCTAGATTGGAGCTCCGGCTCCGATTCTCAGGTCACACAACCAGAACAAACGGACTCTGACTCAAGAAATATGAAAAGACGTGTTTCTCCTGAGGCACAACGCTCCTCAATTAGTCCTATATTAAGAAATAAGAGATATCAGAAGAAAAACCCATCAAAAAACGATTTTTTAAAGGATAGCATATTAGAGAAAGCAGTGAGTGCTGCTGGTATCTCTTCGAAATAGGGAATTTAAAAGTACTACAGTGGAATTGCCGCTCCATTTTTTTCGCAGCTACAGAGGTTCAACTTTGCGATAATAATTCCCCCGATATTGTCGTTTTACAAGAAACTTGGCTTGCAGAAAATAAGTATTTTAGGATTCAAAATTACCGCACATTTCATCTGGACCGCTCAACTCGGTGTGGAGGTTTGGCAATATTTATCTCATTTAAAATCGCCCATAGAGCTAAAATTATTTATCAGTCAATGACTTCAGAAAGCGAGATTTTAGCATTAGGCATTACTAATCCTGGGTCCCTCCCATTCTCATTTAATAATGCTTATTTTCCTGCAGGTGTTCTAAATTCTTCCGTTCTAGATACTGCAGTGTACTATTGCCAAAAAGATATTGTATTAGTAGGTGACTTCAATTCTCATCATATTTCGTGGGGTTTTAAAACTGATCTTAATGGCAAGCGTTTATGGGATTTGGTGAACAAGAATAACTTTATATGCATAAACACAAAAAATCATACTTTTATGTGTGATCAGTCCTCCTTGGTACTCGATCTAACTTTTCCTAACGCTAACCTCTCCATCTTATCATGGTCTGCGAATAACTCGGGAACAAGTAGTGACCGTATGCCGATATTGTTCGAGGTGGTATGTTTCCTGCAGACTTTATTATTATTACAAAGTATATAGTACAGTACACAAAGTGCAGTAGACACAAGTAAGGGGCAGGGTTGGCAAAAAGGCAAATTATTGCCTTACAAGGTGCCGTAACACGTCCCAGACTACAAAGCGCAAAAAAGCAGTAATGCACACATAATTTAAATGTTTTAACAAAGAAGCAGCCGCATTTACAAATTTCTATAAGAACTTATGAAGAACGTTATATAAACATTTTATTAAGTACAGACCTGTCTGCAAGACTGAGTTTATAGCAAACAAAGCAAGGAATATGTGAACAAACCCAAATTTATCGAATAACAAACCAATATATTAGAACTCATTAATGAAAATGCCACGAGGGTATACACTTGGAAATACAACCTGTGTGATACCACAGAAAGAGTAAAAATTATTCTTAAAGCCCTACTAGATATGTGTGTATCTTTTTTTTTCCAATAACCTTCAAGAATAGATCTTCCGTAAAACATGTAAACTTTATACTTTCGAGAAATCGTGACGAGGCGCTTCATCTAACCAAACTAATGGTGCAGAACTAGACGCCATCAGAATTAGCGACATTTTAAAAGAGTCGTTAAATAAATCAAAATTCACCATTGAAAGTTCTAAACCATCTACCAACCCTTAGTGGAACGCAGACTGTTCGCGGGCTTATACACTAAGAAAAGCTGCATAGAAAAATTAATTTTCA